GAGACCACCAAACAGGACAGGAGAGAGAATGTGTGCAAATGGCAACCCTGCTCTAATGTGCTATTTGGGGGCTGTGCTATGATTTGTATGTTAGCATCCCTCAAAAATTCATGTTGACTTGTTTATGTGCTCCCTTTGACTCTTAGTCCTTTCATTATGATCAATTGTGAACTGAAATTGATCACTTGGAATAGTGAGATGGCATTGGTACATGCCACTTTGATGGGATTAAATTGGAGTCCCCTGGTATGTTTCTAACTCTACCATTTGGGGCAAGTCAGCTTGAGCATGTCCCAAATTATATATCTCTTCCCTCTCTTATTCCTACTCTTATGTTTAACAGGGATCACATTTCAGTTAAATTTCAACACTTAAGAATAACTGTGTATTAATTACAGAATTCAACCAGTCATATTAAGTAGAACAGACAAAAAAACTACTAAGAGGGATAATGTATTAAGTTGTTCATTAACAGTCAGGGCTATGCTGATCAAGTCACCATTTCCCATAGTGTCCATTCCACTTCAACATGTTTCCTTTTTGGTGTTCAGTCAGTTGTCACCGATCAGGGAGAACATATGGTATTTGTCCCTTTGGGAATCTTCAGTGAAACCCTGTTAAGACCTAAGGCCTTTTGAAAAGTGATTAGTCATGAAAGCTCTGCCCTCATGGAATGTTATGGTGCCGTTATACAAGGGCCAGAAGGAGCAGGCTTCTCCCTTTCTGCCCTTCTACCATGTGAGGATCCAGCAACATAAGGCTTTCTAGAAGCAGAGAGACCTCACTGAACACTGAGTCTGCTGGCTCCTTGATCTTGGAATTTCTGGCTTCCAGAACTCCAAGATACAAGCTTCTGTTGTTTACAGATACGCCAATCTAAGATATTTTGTTATAGCAGTGAAGAAAGAATCAGATAGCTCTCATCCTGAAACTCAATTCAGTCTGTAGAATCAATCTTGTGTAAGGTAAAACCAGCCAGATCTGTGCTAGCACATCCATTTAGAAAGAGACCATATTAGTTAAATTGACCCAGAGAATTGGTGTTGCTGAGCAGAACTAGATGTGGTAAAAGCATTGATTGAAATTTTTTCCTATAAGCAGAATCTGAGATTCTATATTTGGAGTTGATTGAGTAATTAAACATTTTCTGTTTTTTTATGAGAAATTACTTTGGCCTATTTCTGTAAGCTTACAGCCTTTACAGTCTCATTTCACTGATTTCTTATTTCAGGCATAGTCAGATCTGACATTAATACCAAATTCACTTAATTGGTAAGTCAGTCAAAAATCACTTTCCTGGCAACCAGCAAAATGAAGTGTCAGGAGGCAGCAGTGCGGCTGGCTTTCTGGTAATAAGTACCTATTGTGTCTGGAAGAGGAGGGGGAAGTCCTAGGGAAAAGAAGAAAATGAATCTATAAGGTTATCACAGGGCTTCTAGTAAAAATCAAACTTAGGAGCAAGCTGTGTTCCATGTAATTTTAGGAAAAAATTAAGTATTGAAATACAGAAAATTGAATCTAAAAAGTCAACAAGTTGATAAGACAGGAAATATAACACATCACCACACTTTATACAGAACAATAGTCATAATGATGAAAGCATTAGCTGTTAACTAAATATGATGATTCCATTATGCCAAGGAGCTAGAAGGAACCTAGGCGTGACTGCCAAGCAATAGGATGGTATTAAGAAGGTAAATTTGCATAGCAGAAAGTCAATAAATAGTGGCTAAAAATAATAACAAATAACAAGATATTCAAAAATATAAGCTAAATATGTAAATTAAAACATTTTAAACAATTAGAACCATAGAGGGGCAGAGCATTATTTGATTGTTTTTTAAAACTATATACTTCTGTATGTATTACTTTAGCGAATACTTATAAAGGTACAAAGAAGACAAATTATATTTTTATAACTTCTTTAATTTAACTTTCTGATCCCTTGCTTTTAAATATGAATGACATTAAATCTTAAAAAATAATTCTCAATAACATACTGGTGCTGATTAAGGATGGCAGTTAGTATTAGTTTTTTAAACTAATAAATAAAAACTAATAATAAAAACTAATAATAAAAACTAATAATAAAAAATTTTTTATTTAATTTTTAATTGTTTTTTTCAGAGTAGTTTATACTTACAAAACAAAAATTATGAAGTAGTAATTCAAAGAGTTCCCATAGGCCTCTCATCTCACTTACCCTATTAACATCCCACATTAGTACTTTTGTCACAATTAATAAGATTCCCTTATTTCTTTTAATTCAAACTGCTTCTATCCCTCTCACCATTTCTAGCTTCTAGCAATCAACGTTCTGTGTTCTGAATTTTTTTTAAATTATTTTAGCTCCACAGTTGAGAGAACAGGTGGTATTTGTCTTTCCATTTCTAGCTTATTTCACTCAATGATGTCTTCCAGTTCCATCCCTTTGCTTCCAATGGCAGAATTTTCTTCATTTTGTGGCACCATAGTATTTCATTGTGTATGTATACCACATTTTCTATATCCAGTTACCTGGTATGGATACATTGGTTGATTCCACATCTTGGCTATTGTAAATATTGATATTCTAAATATGGTAGGACAGACACATTTTTAATAAAATTAATTCATGTCTTTTGGATATAGACCCAGTACTGGGATTGCTGGATGATATTAATTTTTTTAGGATTTGTTTAAAAATTTTATTTAAAAAGCAAATTTACAGGGAGAGAGGGAGAAACAGAGAGAGTGATCTTCCACCCACTGGTTTATTCCCCAAATGGTGGAAATGCTAGTGCTAAGCCAGACCAAAGTTAGGAGCCAGCTCCATCCAGTTCTCCCATGTAGGTGTCAGAGTCTCAAGAAGTTAAGCCATCTACCGCAGCTTCCCCAGGCTCATTATCTAGTAGCTGGGTCTGAAGTGGAGTAGTCTCTACTGGTGGATTATCCCAGTGTGTCCCAATGGTGGCCCCTGGATCATATTAATTCAATATGACTTTTTGGAAAGAGTCCCCAAAGGAGAAATGCACAGAAATGCAGTAAGAATAAACACTAACTAATAAACACAGCAGCCTTAATGATTGGGATGTGAAGCTCTCTTGCTCCACAGAAAGGAGCAGACCCAGCATTCTATTTCTAGCATTCAGAACCAAGAACAGGAAGGGAAGGGAGAAGGCTGGTCTCATTGGAGTTTGAGTTGCTATTGAACTACTTTTCCATTTTCAATAGAATAATTATAAAATGTTTGCTTTTAATTCCAAAACTGCAAATGAAGTTTCTTTTTAAGCACAACTTTCACCTTGAGTGTTTTATTTATATAACTCAATTTGTATGCTTTCCTTCTCCTACATTTTCTACCTTTCTCAATATATGGGTATACCTTGTGACCAAGGAGCAGTAGCAAATGTGAAAAACAGTTAACTGTCAGTAAAAGCTCAGCTGATGAAATGAACGTCACAGATGTCAGGGTGCATGCACGTCTGATTTTCATTTGTCGGAGATTCTTTCATTACCACCACATTAGTCAGGGATAGCTACTGAAATATGTTGGTTGTTGATGCAGAACATCTGGCTGCAGTGTCTTTGATAGCTAGGTGATTACATCTCTCATGTTCTACAAGAGCAATGACAGTAAATCAGATACCCAGTTGTGAATTATATCCTTTCAGAGAAAGTGATAATTGCATCATAAAAGAATTAGAAAGGATCAAAAGAGGTCATCAGGTCCATTGGTCTTCTAATATTTGACACAATATTACTTACTTCTGGCCCAAGAGGTTCTTTTATGTGAACTTCGGGCATGTCTAAGTTAAAATGTTATCACACTTTCGTTTTTGTTATTAGCATGAATTGATCAGATAATTTGATGTTTCATATTAATGTTGCATTTAAAGTAATATTATTTTCTCCATTAATTCCCATAACCCTTACTGTGGCAAACATTGCCAATAATGTTCAGGATTTTTTCCATCCTGAAGTGCTTCTCAGTCTGAAAATGTGAAACAAACACGATTTTTTTTCTATCCCTTATTACCCAGGAAGAGATGTCATCCAAAGACCAAAAAGCTAGATGTCTAATTCTCTTCAAAATGTTTACATTTTTCTTGTGAAAGAAGATATTGAATATGTGGGATACACATTGAAGGTACTGTGTAAAACCTTTAAACTAGATTGAAAGTAGTAAAGGAACTACTGTAGCACAAGCGAAAGTTGTGATTCTAGAAAAAATATACCCTACATAACTAATTCACTCTACTATTGAAATTAGCTCTTTGTCTTTTTTTCTAGAAAGCTATTATTTAATAAATATAAATTTCATAGGTATAGCTTGTGGAATATAGCGGTTCTTCCTCCCATATTCCTTAGAAACATCTCTATGCTGTGTTGATACTGTGCAAGTTCCAGAGATTTTAAATTGTGAGTTTTAATAAAAGATCTAACAGTATTGCTTTAGAATTCAATATTTGCCCCCTTTCTGTTTTAGTATGTATTATGAAACTTGGTGACATGTTAGACAAGAGACACTAACCACCTGATTTATTCTGTTAAAAGTGAGTACACTGTTGGCAGCAGGCAAGCAAGTATATAACACTTATAGTTTTACTGTGTTCCTAGAGGAGCAGAACAGACAGAACATTAAAGCTAAGGAACTACCAATATTGTCTTTTTCTTCAACTTTGAAATAAGATTTGCAAAGGCTGTGGAATGATAGATTTTATTAACATGATAATTGGCACAATTGGGAGAAGTCCCAAGTGTCGCTCCCCCTCTTCGTGGAGGAACGACACTATCCGAGTCACGGCTCCATTATGTCGCTCCCCCTCTTCGTGGAGGAACGACACAGGACCCTGCGCTGTTCTTTTGTCTGCTCGGCCCTCCCCGGGTTTGCTGCTGGTTCTTCCTGGGTTGGCTACCATCCCTTCCACCTCCGTGGAAGGGCGGTTCCCCCTGCCACTTTCCCCACTTCCGCAGGGGAGCGGCACACCGCCGGCCGGCTCGTCTCGGGGGCTGCACAGGTGTTCCTTCAGATAGATGTTCCTCTTAGATGTTCCTGGTGCATGTTGTCTCTCTCCTCCTTTATAGTCCTCTTCCACCAATCCCAACTCTGCTACCCACACGCCGAGTACGCTGCTCTCCTCCAATCAGGAGCAGGTCCTACAGTTTATTGGTTGAACTGGAGGCAGCTGTGTAGAAGCTGCTTCTCCCTTCTCAGCGCCATATTGTGAGAGAGCAGATGCATAGAATACGTCTTAATTCCAGTAACTTAGTCTAGTCCGAGTTGCTCCCCACACCAAGCACCATATCCCACACTAACTGGCTGAAGAATGTTGGAAAAGTTATTGGAACTTTGAATTTCAATGACCTTCCTGTAGGGATAATGCCTACTGGGCAGGTTTGTTCTGAAGATTAACTGAGACACTGTAAAGAGGATGTTTATGGTCAACTTCTCTGTGTGGTAATGAGGGTGAAGGTGCTAGCAATGGAGAGAGAAGTAATAGAAGTAGTAATCCATGTCATGCAATAGTTCCTCAGGATCACTTGTTGATCCATTTAGGGCCCTAACAAAATAATTTGCTTTAGGGGCTGGCACTGTGGCATGGTAGGTAAAGCCACCATCTGTGACACTGGCATCCCATATGGGCACCAGTTCATGTCCCAGCTGTACCATTTCTGATCCAATTCCCTACTAATGGCCCCAGGCCAGTGGAAGATGGCCTAAGTGTGTGAGCCCCTACTACCCCCATGAGAGACCCACCTGAAGCTCATGGCTCGTGGCTTCAGCATGGCAGAGCGTTGGCCATCACAGTCATCTAGGGAGTGAACCAACTGGTGGAAGATCTCTCTCTCTCTCTCTTTCTCTCTCTCCCTTTCTACCTCTCTGTCTATAACTCTTTCAAGTAAATAAAGCTTTTAAAAATTGCTTTAATGGTACTCATGAGTGACACTTTAGAATTGTCTAAAGGCATGAATATATGATTTATACTGTATAGTTTGCCTTCATTTGTTAGATTTTTTTGTCTTAATACAACAATCCTATTTATTATAAGTTTATCATATTTTTTCTTTTACAATGTTTGAGGAACTATACATTTTAAAATTATTAATTGTTTATTCAAGAGACAGAGAGCTTCTATCTGCTGATTCACTTCCCAAATGTCTACTGTGGCTGAGCTAGGCTGAAGCCAGGAACTCAGCCCTGGTCCTCGACATGGGTGGCAGGAACCCAATGACTTGAACCATCAATGCTGCCCCCCAAGGTGTGTGTGTGTGTGTGTGTGTGTGTGTATATATATATATACATATATATATGTATATATATATATATATATATATATATATATGTCTTGGCTCCTCTCCCAATTCCAGCTTTATGCTAAGGTGTTCCATGTGAGGCAGCAGGTGTATATATATATATATATATATATCAGAAGCTGGAATCAGGAGCCAGACCTGGAGAAGGACTCCTGGTATCTTAAGCTCTAGGCAAACTGTCCACCCAGATTGTTGACTTTTTGGCCCATGACAAAAATATTGTCATCCTCAAAGAAATGCTTGGGCACACACAATATAAATGTTTTCTATCCACACCACCCTGACATATGCATCTCTGTGATCATTCACTCAACTACTGTTTATTTAGCATTGTCTATGTGCAAAGCACTATATTGTGAAGATTACAAATATTAATCAGAAAGGAAACTTCGTTACCAAGAGCATCTAGATGTGGAGATAAGAGGTCTGTGGAAATAAGCTTTCATATGGTAGGAAGTGGATTTTACTGCCAATACACACACCCTCAAGTTTAGAAGGGAGATAGAATGCTTTCTTAATGTGCAAATTATATGATTATGCGTTAGGAAAACTAATTGTACTCAAGTAAAATCTATGAGATAAGTGAAATAGTTAATTAAGTTAAAAAATTAAAATGTGAATATTTCTAGTTTTTACAAAGGTAATTAGTTAAAATAGAATGGGGAAAAAAAAAACAAATTCATAGTGGCCAGAAAAAAAATCCAACATAGTAATAAATAGTAATAAGCAAAACAGGCATAATTTGAAAATTCATGTGGATAGAATGGGATTTCAGGTGGAGGAACAAGATACATAAAGACAGAATAAGGAAATGAGCAGATGTCATAGGTGAGAAACAGTAGGAGTAATGCTCCTCAAATTTTAATGTACATTTGATCACCTGAGTTCTTATTAAAATGCAGATTCTGATTTAGTAGGTCTGAGATGGGGCCTGAGATTCTGTTTTTAACAAACTCTTAAATGATTTCTGTGCTGCAAATTAAGTGATCCCCTTTTATGGAGCAAGAGTTTAGAATACATGAAGCATAACTAGAGAAGTTACGTTGGGGCTTTAAGGAGAGCAATAATTGCAAGTTAAAAATTTTGAGTTTTATTATGCAGAAAGTAAAGATTTCTGAAAACAAAAATTACTGTTAGTATTGCTGAATTCTAGCAAAGTTAATGACCTAGAATGTTTGAGATAGAGATTTTGAAAGGACAGTTAATAGTGCAATGGTTTAGACTTCATTTGGGACACTCACATCCCTCATCAAAACATCTGAGTTTGAGTCCCAACTCTGGCCCCAATTCTAACTTTCTGTTAATGTGCAGCCTGGGAAGGAACAGGCAAAGGATCAAGTATTTGGGTCCCTCCCACCCACATGGGAGACTCATATTGAGCTTTGACCTGGCTCAACCCCAGCTGTTGTGGGCATTTGGGGAGCAATCAGTGGGTGGTAGATCTCTCTCTTAGTCTCTGTATCTCTTGTGCCTTTCAAATAAGTGAAATTAGTTGATTACTTTTCAAAAGATGGAGTTTTTGTTTTCTGAATTGAATAGTGTTGCTGAAAGAATAATACACACCTTCTTTTTCTGCACTAAACAAGGAGCTCTTACTTTATGGATTCTCAAGCATCTGCCTCCTTAACAACCTAACACTATGGTTGGATGCTTTGTAATCATTGGACAATTAGGTCCCCATAGTATATGTAATTTTATTTGATTTATATCACCAAAATCTACCGAGAAGTAGGTTTCTAAGAGACCATATTGTAACTCAGTTTTCATGGGTAACAGCTAGGTAGAGAAAGTTTGAGCTATAAATTCAATTAAAAATTGTTTAAGAATCAAATAGTATCATGGTCAAGCAGTCTTGTTATCATTTTAAATAAGACATACACGTATGGAAAATTCTGGAGATGAGATTTCAGTAATGGCAATAGACAATAGAATATCAATGACTTTTGTTTTTTCCTATTTATATTTCTATTTACTTTTCATTTCCATTTTTATCTACTCAATATATTGATTATGTAGATTTTAAGATACATAACCCTCTTACAAAAGAAAGGTGTTAAATCTGACTGGTAAGAATATTAGTGTTTAAGAAAAGAACCTCAGAGATTGTTTACTATATGTCCCCATTATTTAACAAAAGAGGAATAGGAAACCTAAAATGATTAAGTGAATTCTCTTAAGTTGAATTATGAGGGAGAGTTGGGGCTACTTATATTTTGTGACTCTCAACCCACAATCCCACAACAAAGTGGCACTCCCCAAGAGAATCTTTTAGTGATATCTCCTTGTAAAATATTGTGTGTGCTTCAGCTTGCCATATTCATAAACTATATACATGCAAATCTCTGCACAGCTCTATTTCTTTTCCAAACATTTGGTCTTCTGAGTCTGTCCTTAATTTTCGTCCATGGCACAGTGGCAATTTCCAAAGACTATTTTATATGAATGAATACTACAGCTAAATACTTAAGTGTATTTTTTTAATGCAACCAGGAGAACCTATTTGCACAATTTTCTTTATATAATTTTTATGTGTGAGAGCGAAAGAAAGAGATGGGGGTGGGGGAGAGGCACACTACCAACCACTGGTTCCACTGGTTCACTCCTGGAATGCCTGCAAAGGTCCTGGACCTGGAACTGAAGTGGGGAGCCACAAATTCAGTCCAGATCTCTTACATGAGTGGCAGGAGCCCAACCACTTGAGCCATTACCTGCTGCCTCACATGGAACACCTTAGCATAAAGCTGGAATTGGGAGAGGAGCCAAGACAAACCCAGGCACTCTAATGCATGGACCTTTAAGTGACATCTTGCCTGTTATGCCAAATGCCTTCCCTAAACTTGAACAATTTTCATGGTTTTGTTTTTATAAATTTACTTGTTTAATTTCAATCATAAATGCTTTAAAGCTGTTAGTAAAATTAAGATGTGTATTTTCTCTTAACTGAAAACACTTAAGATCTACCAGCAGCTACTTAGAGCTCTAGAATGGTCAGTATTTGGAAAATCACATCTAGGCAGGCATTTGTCTTGCCTATTCAGATGCCTGCATCACACAGGGAGTACCTGGGTTCAATACTCTGGTTCTAGCTCCCTGCTGAGGCAGAGAAGCTGGCTTAAGTAAATGGGCTTCTGCCACCTGTGTGGGGGATCTGCATTTAATTCCTGGTATTGGGTTTCTATTTCTATGGTTGTGGCAATGAATCCGTCTCTCTCTTTCTTTCAAAATAATTTTTTTTAAAAAAAAAGAGACTGTCTATATCCAGTAAGTTTTTTCAGAATAAAATAAATGTTGAAGACATGTCTTCTAATTCTTTTTATAGCAACACATGGTGTAATTCCTTGGAGAGTCATTGCTGAGTATAATTTACATATGGACTAGGAGTAAGAATGAGACTAACATAGATAACAAAATTGGTAAGGTGTTTTTTTTTTGTTTTGTTTTGTTTTTTTTTTTTTTTTTGACAGGCAGAGTGGACAAAGAGAGAGAGAGAGAAAGGTCTTCCTTTTTCTCTTGGTTCACCCTCCAATGGCCGCTACAGCCAGCGCACCGCACTGATCCGAAGCCAAGAGCCAGGTGCTTCTCCTAGTCTCCCATGGGGTGCAGGGCCCAAGCACTTGGGCCATCCTCCACTGCACTCCCGGGCCATAGCAGAGAGCTGGCCTGGAAGAGGGGCAACCGGGACAGAATCCGGCGCCCAGACCGGGACTAGAACCCGGTGTGCTGGCTCTACAGGCGGAGGATTAGCCTATTGAGCCGTGGCGCCGGCCAGTAAGGTTTTTTCTTAAACTGATTGTTCTTATTTCTTAGTAGTTTTTTTCTTTAAAGATTTATTTATTTATTTTAAAGTCGGAGTTACACAGAGAGAGAGAAAAAGAGGCAGAGGCAGAGAGAGAGAGATAGAGAGAGAGATCATCCATCCGCTGGTTCACTCCCCAGATGGCCACAACTATCAGAGCTGCGCCGATCTGAAGCCAGGAGCCAGGAGCTTCCTCTGGGTCTGCCACATGGGTGCAGGGGCCCAAGGACTTGGGCCATCTTCTACTGCTTTCCCAGGCCATAGCAGAGACCTGGATTGGAAGTGGAACAGCCGGGATTCGAACTGGCACCCATATGGGGATGCTGGCTCTACAGGCAGTGGCTTTACCTGCTACGCCACAGCACCGGCCCCCTTAATAGTTTTATTGTGGATGGCTCAATCATAAAATTAGAAATCACTTCCAATAGATTACATTTTGAAAATATGCTTTATAACTAGCTTTATTGAAATGAAATTAACTTAATTATATTATTAAAATCAAAATAAATACTATTGCCTATGTTAAAACTTCATAACTAAATTATATAAATTTTAAAATTAATACAATGTATTCTTCATCATGCTGAAAGTCAAAGTACATCAAATCAGTTCTTTTAAAAGGTCCCCTTCACAATAGTCCATGTCTCTCATTTATACTACCGGTTTCCCTCAAGTAGATATTTAGAATTTCCTCTGAATACCTGTTTCTTTCTAATTACAATCACTTCCAAATTAGCAGTTGTCTTGGGAGAGATTACAGCTGCCTTGAAGCAAATATAGTGTCAGTCCTTTTTAATAATGGCAGTAATGTCCCTAAGAGCATCTTATTTCAGAATATTTAGGAGTTAAGTGTGATATAAACTTAGTACTAAATACATAGATGATTTTCTAAATAATGTTTCAGTTAGCATTTTAAAGATTCTAGTGTCACATAGTCATATTTTCTCCTGTGGCTGTATTGAGGGTTTATTAATATGGTCCCAGATAAATTGGTCTCTAAAACATTTGGGAGCCGAATGGCAAAATAATGTAATCTTATGTGTTTATGTTTGATGTTGTATGTATGTATATGCATATACGTATATATGCATGTATATGCACACTTCTTATTTAGCACTGGTTTATAAGACATGAAATTCACCATTAAAAGGGGGTAAAATCACATCAATTGAGGCCTGATTTTCCATGAAAAAGCATATTTTAAATTGATACAAGTGCATTGTTTTAAGGTGCAAACTCTTATCTCATAGCAATTTGTTGTGAACAGGGTCCTGATAACTTTAATTTCCTCACCAGTGAGATTCTAGCCATATTTCTCAGTCCTTATTAGCTCAGGAAGGCTTCCATCAGCAGGATTCTCTTTCTCATTTAAGAAGAATGCATAACATCAGCCTGAATTATCTTTAACATGCCTGTCTTTAAGCATGCTTCAATGATAAGTTGTTCTTTGCCTTATTTGTATAGTATCACATTCATTGTAATATTTATTCTTTGTTAAAGGCAAACATAGTTTCTTCAAAGAAGTAGAATCAATTGGCTAAATTGTGATTGATTCACTCATTGATTAATTGATTCATTTAACAAACCCCATTGAATGCTTGCTGTATAATAGGCACTTCACTGGCTACAAAATAATCCTGATTTGGTAAACATCTTCCAGAAGCTCCAAATATCAAGAAAAATGAAGCAGGTGACAGTATAGATAGAACAATATTGTCAACCTTGTTGACAGCTGGTAAGTTGGGTGATGGGTATCTTACCAACTTCACATTCATTATACTTTTCTCTTTTTAATATATTTGAAATTTTTCATCATAGAGAGGATTTTTTTAAGTGAGTCTTTCATCAGAACTCATTGTACTCAATAGAGGATGTGTATCTGTGTATCCCATTTCTTAAAATAAACCAATTCACCTCAGACTGCTTTTCCTTTGATCTTTCTAAGAGTGACAGACTCCTTCTTCACAATACAGCCATTTTCCCCCAAAATCAGTTTCTAGAATTTTCCACACTGAAAAGGAAAAAAAATAATATCCACACAGATTAATTATCTATAGATTTGATGTTCAAAATGTGGTTAAGAGCTGAGCCATATTTACTTATGTTACAGAATTACCTCATTATTTCCTTACCATCCAAACCATTAAACTTTGTCATTTGGTCATGACCCTTTCCTTTGTTGACTGATACTATTAATTTTGTTACTCATTTTTCCTCCTTTTTGTCCATTTTCATGTATTTTGGAAAAATGATATTCTGAATGCATCTTTGTTTTTCCATCACCATCATATGTCAGTTAAGGCCTCATTTTTTATATTTTCAAAATGAAAGAAAAAAGTCATCAGAAAATTAAGCAGCAATAAGAATGCCCATTTCAGTTGCTTCCTATGTTTTCTGATAATTTACAGGGACTTTTATAATTGCTTATTGAAGAAGAGCAGAAGAGAAGCTAACCACATATAAATGTCATAATCATATATTTTTATATTTCCAATCCTTTAGAAACAGTCTACTGCTGTTCAGTAAATATACTGAAAAAGTTGACAGGTGTTTTAACCCTTTAAAATTTTTGTTTTTATTTGACAAATAACAATTTTATGCGTTTATAGAGTATAACGTGATATTTTAATAATATGTATTATTGTGGAATGATAATATCAAGCTAATTAGTCTATATGCCACTTTATATATTTATCTTTTTATGATGAGAAACTAACTTTTATTCTTTTAATCATTTTGAAATGCACAGTGCATTATTATTAGCTGTGGGTACCTTCTGTGCAATAGATCTTGAAAAATTACCCCTCTTGTCTGCCTAGAACCTTGTGACCTTTGCTAAGCTTCTTTTCATTCCCCTGCCTACTCTACCCCCACCTTTGGAAAGCACTCTTCTCTCTACTTCTGTAATTTCAACTTTTTTAGATTACACATATGAGTATGAGCATGTGGTGTTTATCTTTCTGTACCTGGATTATTTCATTTATTATAATGTACTGCAGTTTCATCCATGTTGTCATAAATGATAGAATTTCATTCTTTTCAAAGGCTTAATAATACTCATTGTGTATATAGATTACATTTTATTCATTCATCCATTGCTGGACAAATTGATTCTGTAACTTGGCTATTGTGAATAGTGTTGTAATGTACGTGGGTGTGCACATATCTCTTTGACATAGTGATTTAAATTCTTTTGGATATATTTTCATTTTTAAAAATGACATGAAAGCTCTTCAAAAGAATTCTTAGAAAAATAAAAGGTGCTTTAGACTGGGAGGAAATTTGCAAAATATATATCTGGTAAAATACTTAGACACACAGTATTGCAAACTGTTTCTAACCCCAGTAATAAGAAAACAAACAATCCTGTTTTAAAAAAAAATAGGCAGTGAATTTTAACAGATACTTTGACAAAGGGTTGTGCAGGATTTTTTTTCAGGTAACAGAATTGTTCTGTATACATAGAATTACTCTCTAAACATAGTGAATTTTACTGAAAAGAGTTATGCTCCAGTAAACAAAACAAAACAAACAAACAAACAAAAAAAAACTGAAGGAAAACACAAGTGTCCTCAGACCAAAGAAGGATGTCAAAGATGAAAGTATCACAAAACTTTAAATATTATCTAAGATTATTAACACTGTAATAGCTTAGCCTTAATCTTGCTAGCTTTAGATTGGTTTTGATGCCTTAACTTAAATTAGGTTTCCTAAAACATAGCATGAGACATGGGTTGCCTGTAGACAGTGTTTATTGGGAAGTTCCCGTGGCAACACCTATAAGGAAGTGAGCACAGCAGAGGGAGACCCTGCCTGCAGGAGGCTGTCACAGAGACCTGAGCTGATCCTGTTTAGCACCCCGGAGCTCAGACTGACTTTCAGACTCCTCTAAATTGAAACCAGAGGCCTGGGCCTTATGGTTTCTTTCAGAAGCATTTGCCACAGGCTGCTTCCTGGGGAAAGGCAATTCCCTGTGGCCAAGAGCAATGTCTAGTGACAGATTCAGTCAGGTGCCATTGGCAGTCACTGTTCCCAGCACCTGAGTGATGCATACATCCACCATGACAGTGTGATCTGCACGGAGCATTTCAATATCAATTACGTGGATATCTTTGAAATCTCTACTATCAAGTATACTTTTATTTAAATATTTTTAAACAAATGTCTAAATCTTCTGGCATTCTTGTACAAGGATAGCCATTGAAATACTGAGTGGAAAACAACCTGAATACCCATTATCAGAGAATAATTAAATTATTGTATATTCATAAAATAGAATATTATGAAATCATTATAAAGTACCAGGGAGATTTGTATGTCCTAGTAGGTAAAGATCTTCAGGATAACAGCATTATCAAAAAGGGAAAGGAAGGAATAGTACATGCTGTGTCCTGTCTTTTGTGTATAAAGGGTATCGGGGGAACATCCAGTTCTACTTGCTGATGACCTCTCAAAGAAACAGCATAAAAAATATAAGAAATAAGAGTGATTGATGTGGAGTTTATGTGCAGGTAATGTGAACTTGTCTCCCTGGGGTCAGGGGTATGAAGTGAGACTTTTCATTGTATATCTTTTTTATTTTATTAATTTTCAACCATGAGATTATTATTTTAAAATAGAAATTTTAATTATTTTAAAATATGAATTTGGAGAATATTAATATGTATGTAGGGACAGGAAAATAACAGTTAAAGAAAAAACCTTCCATTTGGCCACTGCTATGTTTTTAAAGAAAGATTTACTGATTTGAAAGACCAAGTGACGGAGAGAAATGAAAGTGACATCTTCCATCTGCTGGTTCAATCCCTAAATGATCGCAACAGCCAGGGCTGGAACAGACAGAAGCCAGGAGCTAGGAACTCCATCTCCAGATCTCTCACATGAGTGACAGGGTCCAAGCACTTGGGCCATCATCCACTGCTCTCCCAGGCATATTAGCAGGAAACTGGATCAGGAAGTGGAGAAACCGGGACTCATGCCAGACTAATTTGGGATGTAGACATCGCAAGTAGTGGTTTAACCCGCTGTGCCACAACATAGGCCCAACTATCACTTTTGTGTAGTCATCATCATGTGTGTGCCTAGAGGATCACAGCTACATCTTGCTACCTGGTCTCTTGTTGTTACTGCTTCAATTTAATCTGGTTATGACTGTCAGAGATACTGTACAAAAAGAAATCAGACCATTCCATGCCTTCCCCCAAACCTTCTGTTGGCTTCTCATCCACCTCATCCTCAAAGCCAAGATCCTTGCAATGACCTACAAGGCTCTGTGGCATCTAATCTCCCCTCTCCCCATCCCTACCAAACCCTCCCATCCTCTGTCTTCTCACTTCTCCTGCTGCTCTGCTCTGTCACTTTGCTCCACCACATTGGACTCCTTTGTCTTGTCCCTACAAGACAGACATGCTTCCACCTTGGGACCTTGGCACTGTTTTTCTCAGCCTAGAGCAATCTTTTCTCAGATATTCACATGGCACATCCTCTTATTTAGTTCCAGTCGTACCAGTGAGCTATCCCATTGTAAACTGCAGCTTTATGTGTGCAAATACATGCACTCCCTCCCAATTCCCTTTTCCTGATTAACTCTTCACCTCTGTAGGACATGTTAGGTATTTATTTGCTTGTATTCTTTCTTCCTTCACAAGGGTATCATCACAAGATGTTATAGAATACCACAAGGATGGGAATTTTTATGTCATTTGCTGAAGAAACCTCAGTTCCTAAAATGAAACATGCAACATAATGAGCTTTAGAAATATTTATTTAATTCATTATTGATTTACTAAATAAATAGCTCTTCCAAAAAAATTGTTCTACTACTATGTAGATGTCCTGGGTTATTCACATAAGAAAATAGTTGATGCTTTGTCTTATGATACATATCTTATAATTTATGGCTAAATTTAGCTATCTTTCTTTGAACATTATTTGCAGAAATAGCCAATTATACCAGTGCTTCTAGGTGCCAAATTTTATGAAAATTTTGAAAGGGATACATTTAAGTATCACAAACTGCTTTATAAGTGTGACTCAATATCCTCACTTACCTAAAACTCTTCCAAGCCTTCATCTGGATATAATAATTTCAGATATCCATTATATTTATGTGACTTTTCATTCTGTTAAACCTTTTCTGTAGATCCTAATTCATCTAATCAGTGCTTGACAGTGTCTGCTGTTCACTAACTTATAATAATCGGATTATTATTATGTTCAATAGTCTTTAAGTCTAATTTTAGCCCATAAAGGTAAAACCAAGAAAGTTTCCTTATAACCAGGACAGACATAAGAGAAGTCAAGAAATGCCAGAGGTTTAATAAAAATAATAAAGCAGATAGTATAGGACTTTTAGAAGCTTGTTTTCATAAAGATATAACTATTACTTTTAAAAAAATGTATTTAGAGCAGTTACTTTCAGCAGTTGATTGTCTCTTGGGAAGGATTCTTAAACACCCTGCCTAAAAGATAGGAAGTCATAGATAAGCCTAAACTACAAATAACTTGCATAGGAGTACAGCCACATCCTCACTGTGAAATAGCAGACATTACCAAGTGCAGCTGTCCCTTCTCATGACTTAAGAAAGGCAATTTATGGTAATAGAGGAATGATGATGGAACTTCAGGTAATGCTATTCTGAACAATTTTGTAAGCTCTGTGAATTCAAAGACCTTGTCAGATGTGTGAAGAGTAAGTGGCCAGAATATGTAAACCATGCACTACCATGTCTTGCACACTGTAAGCACTCAGCTATTGGCTGAAATTATTGTCATAATTTTTATATCCCCCACATAGCACTACACTTTTATTAAATTCATAGAAAATACTCAGCAAAATAATTTAGGTTGAACTGAAATAATTGAAATTTGAAGACTGAAACTTTTCTTGCAAAAGAATAACCAAAAAAAGAAGAAAAGGAAAACAATAATGAGTAGCATATCAAAAATAAGGCAAACTATTATGTGAAAATAAAATGTAGCTTACATTTTTATTAAATTATGTTTAATTAATATAACATTATAGTATAACT